CACATACGGGTTTGCTTCTATTAGCAAACAGGCACTCGTCCTCCCACCTGCTCTCAGAGTCCACTTTTTGTCCCGATCGTCTGCTCTGGGGGCCGTCTCAAGTGTCCCCGACAGACGCTTTCGTCCACTCACCACTAAGCAGCGACTTGACAAGCAAGGGTAGCTGTCGCAGTGCATTGTGGGATTTGTTGTGCGAGCTCACAGCTCCTGCTGACTAATTTTCTCTGGTGATTGTTGTCTGATATTTACATTTGTGAGTAAGTGTGACCAAAAAGGACAAAACTGTAGAAATGTCTGATACTTCTTCACAGCACTGTGAAAGTGAGGTCTAAAATCTGCTTTTGGTAATTGTTTATACTTAGCATCTGTTTTAATATTTCTTCTATCCACTTACACAACCCACGCAGAGCTTTTTCTCCACACTCACACCACTTATGCTTTTTGGGATAATATCTTTGATTTGCTATTTCAAATCATCAGAGGCAAAAATATTGTCTTGTGAATCCAGAGCTGTTTTGGGTTAAAGCCGTGCTCTCCAAACGTGGAATAACTGTCTGTAAGGCCAGCACGTCCTCTTTGGCTCCACACTGTCCAAGCGATCCCAGAAAAGAGCCGGAGAAAATAAACTAATAGACAGGCAAACCTGTAAATGTGAGCAATAAAATCCACATTTTACGATGCCGTAAACATGCCCACACTTCAGATCCGTGTGCAGGACAGAGCTGCCGCTCAGAGCAGAGTCGGGGGACGATTTGACCCTCTGACCGCTGGTGTCTCTTCAGGCTGAACTTTTTTGTTGACTTTTAAAACAAAGACTGATGTAAAGTCGACCAGTTTGGCTGTCTTTAGTCCTTAAGGCCTAAAAACGTTCGGGAGTGAATCGAAACAAAATAAAATTCAGACAAAGAGCTAATTGAATAGAAAAAGGAAAACACTCCCATGCATTTCCGCTTATTGCTTCTTCAATAGTTGAAATGATCTATATTCTGTTTAAAAATTGAATACTGCACACCACTCCAGGACCGGATCCATAAAAGTACACTTCTGAGTACATTATTTCCTCGTTCTCACGCTTGATGAAGTGGCTGCTGTGTGATGAAGGGGCCTCTCTGGCTTCCCCTGATGGTCCACTTTGTTAGGGCTGCTGTTGTGAGGGCTCATCGTTCACAGGCCAGAGGTAATGGCCGCTCGTTATCCTGCAGGAGGTGGAGGCCCGCAGCTCTTACGCCGGCTCTCAGGTCGAGCGTGACGCGCCGCACCAAGCAGCAAAAGCCCCACACCTGCTTTTCCCGGCACGAGCGCCGCTGCTCTCAGGGTGAAAGGATCCTGTCATAAAGCGGCCCACTGAGTGTGTGTGTGTGTGGGTGTGTGTGTTTGCGTGTGCGCCCGGGATCGATGTGTGCGCAGTCTCGCCTTTTGGGGGGGAAGTGGCTTTTATCCTGTGTCCGTTTACTGCGGCCACTTGGTCGGCGAGCTGTGAAAGGGACACTATTCGGCCCGCCGGCGGACAGAGAACCCCTTCAGCACACCGGGGGGGCCACAGAGAGGGCCTCTGTGTGCGAGGTGCACTGAGGGAGAGAGGCGCCCATTGACCCCGAGGAAGGCAACGGAAATGGAGGAAGGCCAAACGTGTACATCTGCCTCTCATAATGTTATTGATCTGAACGCACTAGTCTGAATCCCGCAGTAGAATCAGAAACAGTAAATAGAAACAGTAGATAGAAACGGTAAATGACGGAGCTGTGGGCCGGGGGCGACGTAACTTTTATTAGGACTTCTGAACTTTGCTGTTTGCAGCGGCAAATTGACTTTACAGCCCTGTGCAAAGGTCTTAGGCCACCACTCATTCCAACAGGAAATACGTGGAGGGATTTAGTAAAACAAGGGTAAACTAAATGGAAATGAGGTTAGAAAAGAGTTTGAACAGTTTTGATGCAGATGAAAGTGTCTAACTACCCAATAACACTTTATAAGCTGAAGCATGAGTAGAGAAAATAATAATAGGGATGCTTTGATATAAAAACAATTCCAACAAGTCATTACTTTCTATTTCTTAAGGAGTTAATTTCTAGATGCTCTTCATCTGCTGTAAATAGTTTTTTAGGCTCAACCGTTCTTCTTTTGTCCTACATTTATTCAGTTTCTTTAGATTCTTTTAACGACAATTTTTGGTGGAATAAATGCTAATTCGTCAAGTGATCACACAATTCTGTTTTACACCTTGTAGTAAAATTCTTTCCAGCACTTCACTGCAAATTTCACTTTTTTTTTTTAGATCTTTCATATCGTAGGCTGTAATAGACCTAATTTACAAAAGATTATTCTTTATTTTTAACTCTTGAAAAATCGTAAATACGTTGCCAATGTCCAAAGAAAGACATAAAAAAAGTCTGTTAACAATCACAAGAAAGCCTAATTAGAAACAGAATATGACGGAACGAGAGGTGACTGAAGATCTCTGAACAGTTTGATCTCTTTTCCCGTCCATTTTACCTCCAGCAGTATTTTGCACATTGGGCACACGCCCCTCTGCAGTCCTGTCCAGGGATGTTTTTATCAAGGTCCAAACATGCCAGCCCCCTGTGGTTAGCGGCAGTGGATGACAGGTGTTTGTGTTCTTCGGTGCTCAGATAACATGAGAGGAAGCCGTAAAACGAGCTTTGGCCAGTTCGCTGCTTGGCCAAACGAGCAGAGCGGATTCTCCTCCAGCTAATGAGATCACGGTGATGCGTGTGGTTGGATTTAACAAGCTAATTCATGCCACAGATACGCCGTAGCCTGTTTTGTCTGTCACATAGGAGATTAAACTAGCTGAGCGGGGCTTACTGTTGCTGCTCATTTTATCAATGAAAAGGCTCAACTCCACAGCACACAACACATACGTCCAAACGTAGTAGATGAAAAATGATTGAGAATTCCCTCAGTAACTGGTAGATATTGGACAATGACCCTCAGGCCTGTTTTGATTGCTTATAAAGCTGGTATAAGAATTCTCAGCTATTTTTTGTACCACCTTTTTAGTGAAGTTGTGAGGTGTTTTACAATTTTCAAATATTTGGATTGAAATATCTCTTTTACTGAATCATGTTAGCATGTTTTTGAGAGAAAAAACTTCTTTTTCATGATTATAATCAGAGGCAGATTAGAGGAAAACCACAGACTGGTCCAAAAGTTTATTCATGACACCTTTAAAAAAGCTTGCCAGTATTTCTAAAGCAGAAAATAATCCCACCTGTTGTCCTCCAGGGACAAACTGGGTCACACTGACTGTTTTTAAAGCATTAATTATGAAATGATCACACTATTCTTTGTTGTACCTTTTAGTCTACTTTTTTCCAACACTTTGCCACCAATTTTACGTTCGTATTTTAAATATACGGTATAACAGACCTCATTTACATTAAGTTAATTTGACTACAGCTTAGTTTGATGTGTTATCACAGATAAAGTTATAAAAAAAAATCATAGTATGGCACCTTCCATGCAATTTTCAGGCATTATAAAGAATAAAACCAACGTTACTACATTCACTTTTGAAACGGGTCCAGTTTATCGAAAGGAAATAGAGGATTAAGCAACATTTCCTGTTTTTATCCACTTGAAAAGCTTCAGGTTTAAGCTCAAGACAAAAACAAGATGAGGAAAAATATTACTATGAGAAGAAACGGGCCCTTAAGAACCTAAAATGTGATGCATGTAACCGTGATGTGACAGAGTTTGACTGTCTGGCTCATTCCTGATGGGTCAGAGCTGTAGTGAAGTAGTCTGGCCTTAGCTGATTGGCTGGAGAAAGTCACGTGACTGAATCTGTTGTGATGGCGCAGGCGCTTCCATTTTTAAAGCCTGTACAAGTGATCAAAGATGACCACTAGGTTTGTTAAAAGATGCGGAGGCCCGAAAACTTTGGTCCCAGCTCTCCTAACTCCATCCCCGGTGTTTCCCGGCAGATGCCGGCTCTGCTCTGGATTCTGATCTCAAACAGGCCGGTCACTGCTTCCGCCACTGGAGCGTCCGGCCGGGATCCACAGATGTTACTGTTGCAGAGCCCTGGGCCCGGGGGCACGGCGCCAGACCCCCCCCCAACCCGACCAAACAATGCAGGGCAATGCAGAGCCGTGGCTCCGGGCCCAGCCAGTGCCCCCCCCCCCCACTGTCCCCGTGCTGTTGACCCCACATTTTTTCTGGGGTCTTAGGCGCTCAGTGGGCTGTCACGGCTCATTAGCCGCTTTAGAGATGAACTTGCACAGCAGACTCTCTCTGTGATTAATAAACACGGACAGAGAGGAGAGGGGAGACGGATAGGAACGGGGAGGGCAGACGTTCCCAGACCGGAGAAGTTTCCAGAGGTCTGTAAACAGACCCCTCGCATACGGGACAGAGCATCTCATCCTTCTGCTGCTGACGGGCTTAAAACAGATTAGAAATAAACTCTCATTAAATCCTTTTAATTAAGGAACTCTCTCATGTTTGCTTGTTCTTTATGTGGATGTTTACTTGTCCTCCCCATTTCAGCTGATGAGCTAATGGCCCTCCAGAGGTTATTTTTAGGTTGCTGTACTGTACTCCACAAGCTGCATACCAGGCACAACCGACGAACTGGGGAGATGTTTGGTCAACTGCGTGCGAGGAACCCCCCCCCCCACCGCCACTTTAGAGGGAGGTGCTGGCAAAGAGAAGGCTAAAGGATGAGGCTCAAAGACAGGAAACCGGATTAAAAGCTGCAAAACAAACTTTTAGATGCACTCTCACGCGAATAGATGATCACAAAAAATGTTTTTAAAGTTTCCGAGTGCAGATAGTAATCCCTTAAAAGGTCTTTAAGGTTTGAGTGCAGCATCCCGTTCTGGGTTTCCCATTTAGTCTTTTCCATCAACTGGCCGCCGCTCTTCCCCGTCCATCTGCTCTTAGTCCCACATCCAGCTGGATCTCAGAGCAGCTCGTAGGAAGCCATCACTGGTGGTTGGTAGGAGGAAGTTCCCATGGTGGTGCGAGCTATAAATATGCCGGCCGGTCAAAGAGCAGGTGAGGACGCCCGCTCAGAGCAGCAGTGAGACTCTGCCCAGAATTGTTCCCATGCTCTAAGAGGCCGAGTGGAGCTAAAGAGACCCGGCCCTCGCCACTCATCAGACCCCGGCTGACACGGTAGTCCTCAGACTTTTATAGGGAACCGGTCAAATCATTCCATTCATCTATAAGATAACAAATAGACCTCCCTGGTATAACTCTACCACTTTAAAGTGAAAGAATAAGTAATAATAAGCCCCCTTATTCTCTCAGTGCTAATGTAGAATTTAAAGCCATGCTGGATTACGTATAGTCTGATTAAATGGACTGTATTAGAAGTGCACAACAATAGGAAGACATGGATCACGTGACGGCTAACACACATTTTTCCACATGACGCTTGTATTAATGAGGGCTGCATTCCATCTCAGCTCAGTGGCCTGTTGTTTAGCTTACACAAAAGCAGAGCTGCTCCTAAATGGAACGCAGCCCTCATTAACATACCTCTTTTTTCTCCAATTTAAAGACACCACTTCTCCTGTTTCTGACACTCCTGGTTGCGATCATTTTCAAAATACTGAGCATTGAGTTTGTTTATACACGTCTTCTGTTTGTGGGAAATCTGCTCTCTAGCCTTTGGGATTATGTTCTGCACAGATACAGCTTCTATCATCTAAAGTTAACAGCTCTGTCTGTTATTTTACTTCACATAAAATATAAAACCTCCTGCAAGTAAAATAAGAATGACAAACCTTAAGCAAAAGTAAAGAGACTCAAGAGAAACAGGCTGTGACTCATGAAATGAACACATGGCCGATTGTATGCAAAGTGCTTTAACTGCTTTACTCTTTTAATTTGGCTACAAAAAAGGAGACCTTTTAGGGATTCCAGGGTTCCATTTTCATGAAGTTGGATCAAATCTTGTTGGGGATTGATCTTATTCTTTCTCTTCTCATTCATTCTGTTTCATTCTGTCTGTCAGGTTCCTTCTCGCTCCTTTCCTTCTCTGTATTTACCCACTGTTTCACTAAATTCTCACCAGTTTGAACCACTTTTTAGCCTAAAAGGCATAAATCCGAACCTGCGGGTTGTGCTTTGCTCTAAGCTTGCAGCCTGGTGTAAGTCTGACAAACCCATCTTAAACCTAATAGGAGTTAATCCACTAGTTGTTGAGACATTTTGGGAATGAAAAAACAAAAAAAATGCCCTCCTTCAACTGGCCCGGCCTCTCGGATAACGTGGCTAAGAAGAACTTGGGTGCTCAAAAAAAAACACGAGGCAGGAAGAAGTATTTTGTATTACATTTATATTTCATCAAATCTGCCATAGCAGAAGAAGACTGTGCGACTTTTCAGGCCTGCTTAGCCTAGCAGACTGGATCGGCCCCAGATTCACCCACTCACAGCAGACACAGGACTCAGATCCCACCGATAGTGGGTGTGGAGGTTTTTTCTTATTATTCGTCTTGTTTTGGTCATGAATAAGTAAAAAGGTGGCCTAAGAAACGCTCATCCACTTACCAGACACATGCACCTGCTCCTGGACGGCCCCCCGGTTATGGACCAGTGCTCGCCCCCCCCCCCCCCCCCCCCCCCCTCATTCTGGCTGCCCCCGTGGGGGGTCGACGGTTAGGTGTGACAGCGCCGCATCACAAATGTCCTCGCAATTTATTTGCACTTCCATTAAAGGCTGCACCGCGCTGCGTTTTTTCCCCGATCACACTCTCCCCGTCTGACACAGGCTTCTATTTACGATCATTATCCCGAGTGTCGGGGTGTAAATAACACCGGCTCCGCGGATCGGGGCTGCCCCGGCGTTACTCATTCATTCCTGTAACCTTTCTCATTGAGGTCAGTGAAAGGTCTTACAAACCTGTTCAATAATTAAAGGGCTTTTTTCTCTCATGTGGAAGCTCTCCGTGTCCACAAAGCCACTCCACACACAGGTGTTGAGTGATGGCTTTGGAAATGGGAAATGAGAGTTGTTGTTGGCCGTAAAAGATCCGGCAGCCGCTGGTGTTTGGAAAGCGTGAACATGTAAACACTGTGCGTTATCTATCAGATAAAAGGCGGTATTAAGACCTGTGGGATCAGAGCCTCCTTAAATCCCGTCCCTGAGCATCACAATCTGTAGATTGATAATTCCCTGTTTCGCAGATGGAGGCAGAACGACTGGGATATGATTCGAGGGGATGCCACACAGGAAGTCTTCAGTATAACTGAGAACATAAATGGTGAGATTTTACTCTCATGAATCCTTTAAATTCATTTAAATGACCACAGTTTTGATGATGCGTTCAAAGCAGGAGGAACAAGTGCTCTCGTGGGTTCATGCCATCAAGAGCCCAACAAACATATTTACAGGAGAAAAAAACAGAAAAAGCAGCCAATTGTGTTTTTTTAAATGCATGTTAACAGGTTTGTTCAGCAAGATGAACACACCTGTACGAAAATGAGCCATCTGTCATTTTATCTACCTCATGTGGGCCAATGTGGACCCTTTCCAGAATTCCCTCTTTTTTCATAAACAGTGAAGTTTAAGTGTGTTTTAATGACGTAAAATATCATTTCTGTATTTTTTTTTAGATGGCTAAACATGTCTGAAAATAGCTGAATTTAGATCAATTGTAGACCTGTGAAGCATCACCAGGCTGCCGCTCTGCTCTAATAAAAGTCCAGTCCTGTTTTGCGGCACAGTACATCTGAGACTGTACTGACTGAACTATTTATTTATTTTGAATCCTTTTGGAGTGTGCAGGCAACAGAAGGGAAAAATACTAGGTGATGGGAATCATATAATTTATGATACAAATTTTCATGTTGTTTTCAGCTAGTTTAAAAAAGAGAAAAGTATGAATAAAATACTTCAAAGAGGCCTATTTTCTCTTAAAGCAGAAACTGACCTCCCAGTCTGCTCTGAGACACGTTGCTATGGGAGCGGCCTTTAAGCTGGTCAGGTTGTCTAACTGTGCTCTTCTCTCCTCAGAGTGTTTGCCATGCCACATGGGAAGGCTTTGAACTCCCCCCTGGTCTTCCTCCTCAGTCTCACCATCGTTACCGGGGGCCGAGGTCACTTTTACCCCCGCTTCTCACGCAATGACACCGAATTCCAGCACCTGGTGCTCCACCCGGACCCCTCCGCGGGGACAGTGTACGTGGGGGCCCGGGACCACCTCTTCCAGCTGGACGGGCTGGACGGGCTCCGGCTGGAGCAGGAGGAGGCCACCGGTCCGGTGAGGGACAGCAAAGACTGCCTCCCCCCGGTCACAGAGTTCAACTGCCCGCAGGCCAGAAGCACCAGCAACCACAACAAGCTGCTGCTGGTGGACGCCAGGGCCTCGGAGCTCATCACCTGCGGCAGCGTCCACCAGGGCACCTGCCAGAAGCGCAGCCTGGACTCCATCGGGCGGGTCCTCTTCTCCACCGAGAGGCCCGTGGACACGCAGTACGTGGCGGCCAACGACCCGCTGGTGTCCACCGTGGGGCTGGTGGTGGAGCTCCTCGGCGGCGAGCGGACGGTGATGTACGTGGGCCGCGGCTACACGGCCAGCCACCCGCCCATCTCCACCCGCCACCTCTCCTCAGAGCCCGTCTTCTCGTACGAGGAGACGGCCAAGCTGGCCGTGGCCGGCCGCCTGTCGGAGTACGACCACCACTTTGTGACGGCCTTCACGCGGCGCTCCTACGTCTACTTCCTGTTTTACCGGCGGGACATCAAGTCGGTGTCCAGGGAGTACCGGACCTACGCCGCCCGGGTGTGTCTGGAGGACTCCTCCTACTACTCATACGTGGAGGTTCCTCTCGTGTGCCGGTCCCAGTCCGCCCCGTCCAGGACCTACAACCTGCTGCAGGCAGCCCAGGTACCCACAACACAACCCAGCAGAAGAAGGGGCGAAACGCCTGACAAAACGAAGGTTTTTACTCCCGGTTTGCTAGATAATTCCCTCCTCTGTCAGAGCTCTTGATCCTTCGAGCCGCTGGTGTGCGTTTCCCCAAATATTATCATCTATTCTGTTTTAAAAGGGAGTTCCTTTGAAGGGGATAACATCGCAAAATGCCAAATCGGTGTGAGTGGCTCCGGCATGTGAAGGTTAGTGTGCCGCTTGGCTGAGTTTTCCCCCTGCCTTTGTTTCCACAGGTGGGGCAGGGCGCGGGCGTGCAGGGCGAGGATCTGCTGGGAGTCTTCTCCAGCCGCCTCAGCTCAGCAAACAGCAGCCCCTTGGACTCCTCGGCTCTGTGCGTCTTCCATCTGGAGGAGCTGGACAGACACATCGACTCCACCCGCGACCTGTGTTACACCCAGAACGGCTGGGTGGAGGGGACTGGGGAGATGGCCTACATAGAGTACGAGGTCAAGTCCAGCTGCGCCAACCTGCCCATGGTGAGGATGTAAGGGGGGGTAAATGCTTTTGGGGAGTGGCCGTTCACCCCATTTTGGAGCTGGCCGCTGCTTCCTGCTGCTCTGTGCGTGCTCACATCAGCCATATGTGATGTATACACATACAGGACTTACTGTAGATACAATAAAGCCGGGAGAATTTGATGCCTGAACCCAAAGCGTATCGACTCACTCAACTTGAGTGTCCAGCGTGGAATGTACAGCTGCATAACAAGGAATTACCAGACTGGTAAGACTATCGTGAATAATGGATGGGTGGAAGGGTAGTAATGAGGCCCTGAGCTCCCAGATGCCCGAGGAGAAGCTTTGCCTGGCTGCAGCCGTCCAGAGACCCCCGTCCGCTGATCTGCAGCCCTCCGGTCCCCGCTGCCCGCAGAAACATTTAATAGGCTCATTAGGGATCAATAAAGTAAACTAACCCTGAATCATCTGTTCTGCTGCTTAATGAGCTCTGACAAGGAAGGACGGGAGTTCTTTTTGAAGCCCGCTGACATAAGAGGAAAGAGAAACATGGGAATAGAAGCACTGTAGCACAGGGAATGACAGGGGGAGAAATGGGACGCTGAAAGAAGAGGGGAAGATTGATTAGGTCACTATTTCCCCTCCAACAGCGATAAGCCGACTTATTTTCATAGTAAACAAACTCTCCTTCTTTCTTCAAGGCCAATTATGTGTCAGTGCTGCCCGGAGACTTACAGGAAAGCAGGATTTTCAGTAGTCCGTTTGCAAAAGGGCAAGTTGGCTGTCTCCAAATGAGTTTGCTCTAATCTGTAGTGCAATCCTCTTACGGTGAATAAAGCGGATTCGCTGGCTCCGAAGCAGCAATCGGAATAAAGCCTCGTTGGTTTGGAGCTTCCTGTTTTAATCAACAACACAAAATACACATTAAAAACCTCCAAAATGGACGCCGCTTCTGCGAGGAAATAACAAACTCTCCCTCCTGTCCCGTGCGGCAGAACACCCTGAAGGCCTACCCCTGCGGCTCCGACCACACCCCGAGTCCGATGGCGAGCAAGGTGGCGCTGCAGGCCGACGCCGTGTGGCACACGTCGGCCGCCCGGCTCACCGCCATAGCCGTCAGCGTCAGGGAGGGACACAGCATCGCCTTCCTGGGAGACTCCAGAGGGACTCTCCACAAGGTAAACACCTGGGGAAAAACCCAGACTGACCACCCTGAGCTGGAAAGGTTCATCCCATTAGGAAAGCTCTCAGTTTAAGCTTACCTAGTTCTCTGTCCATAAAAGCTCCCCCCACCCCGTCTGTGAGTCAGATCCCAGCTAAGCAAACACACCTTACCCCACATAAAACGGGAAGTTTGGTTTGAATCAAGTCCGTTCCAGTTCCTTTATGCCCCATGCATCCCCACTGCCCCGGACCAAAGATTCCCATCATTCCGGCTCTCGCAGTGTTCCAACAAACACAGAGGAGCATACCTCTGCGATCCCACGGTTAATGCCCGTGCTTTCTGTTCCGCCGGCTGTGATTGTTGGAGACCCTGCGCATTTTTTAACTTAATGATGAGAAGACGTGTGCGGAGCTTTTCACCACATTTTGAATAACATCTGCAAAGATGGAAGGGAGAACAGTGAGATTTATAGATGGTTCTCCTCTAATAGATCTGTTTTGGTGCTTGTCTGTGTCTGTGTGCAGATAATTTTGTTGGAAATGTTCTCATGTTTCCATCTCGAGTGAAAGTGACCGCCTACCACTCATTTATCCCAGTAATTTATATATATATATATATGTGTGTGTGTGTGTGTGTGTGTGGATATTGTGTCTATGTGTAGCTTTGCTTATCTCAAAGCAGCAGTTTAGTTTGTAAGAACACTTTAGTGCCAAGAGTTTGATGAGAAAATCGATAACGGTCTTGTTTGTGGAGGAGCTTTAATCCCTGAGCTGGGACTTGTTTAGCTGAGCAGAAAGACTGGAAGCATGAGCTGGGAAAATACGTCAACCAGCGCTTTTTTGTCGGTGCGATTCATTCATCAAACAAAATTCAAAATGTCAGGCTTACGGGGGAAGCCAGACTAATTCCTTTCATGCACAAGCTTTCTGAAGAGATAGGGGCTGATCTCTGGCTGGACTTTGAAGAGCGCGAGGCTAGCTTAGCAGATCACCTCCTGGCTCCAGCTTCGCAGAAAGCACCCAGACAGGACCTCCACTCAGTTGGCCAGATATTAGAACATTTTTCCAAAAGGAGGAAATATTTTTCAATCATTCCATTATGGTTTTGATTCATTACAGCTGATTGTTTTCATTAGTCATTGAAAGTGAAGCCTTTTGTCCTCTGCGTAGCTCACTTTAAAATCCATCTCCCATAATGCAAATACTCTTCTCCTCTTCATCTTTGATTTAAACCAATCTCTCATACTTATGGGACACTCATTAACTTTTTTTTTATTTAAGCCTATAGATGCTCACCAAGTAAGCCAAAATCAACTTTCTCTGAAAAAAACGGACCACTTTCAAATGTGAGCCTGTTTGAGGCCATTTTTAGGAAAAACTGCTGTTTTGGTCTTTTTTTCTCCTTTATTTTTGTTGGTCCATGTGGTCATTTTGAATCTGTGGTTTTTTCAAGTCTGTTGGTTTTCATTTAAACTGTCTGTTTAACATCCATGGCAACAATTTCTTCTGTCAGTTGTTATGCAGTTTCTTTTAGTTGTTTGCTTCTACTTTTGTTGAGTTTTTTCTCTTCATAGTCTCGCTGTTGTTGTTTTCCTGCCTTTGGGGTATTTTTGTTGTCTTGGCCTCAATATTTGAACTCGGGAGTTAGTTTCTTTAGGGAACCGTCAACTTTCTTTAAAAAGGTATTTGTGTGTGTGTGTGTGTGTGTGTATATGTATATATATATATATATACACACATACACACACACACATACAATACACACAATTTTATTCCCTAAAATATTTCTTTTTTCCCTAAATAAATAGAACATCCTTTTTATGACAAGGAATTCCACAGAAGAGGAAACATTGTGTTCCTGGAAAACCTTGATCACATCTGTGAAATCTGGTGGTGTGATATCATCATTTGAAGCATCTGGGTCACAGTTAAGAAACTGAGTCTCAGGAGCTGGAGGTTAATGCAGCATGCAAGCCGTCCTACCAAAGTACAGTAACAGGACTGCAAAGACATTCTGGCTGATATTTGAAGGCTCCGGAAATTCCTTAATCAATAGAAACCTTTAGATGTAGATATAGACCTACATCTGGTTCTTGGAAATAACCAGTAATATTCGGATAGCTTTAGTTTAGATAGATCCATTAAAAAAATGTTTAAGTTGGGTTTTTGTCGGACATTAAAGATGAATATTTGAAATAGTGTAAATTTCTTTTATAAAAGGCCTTCCTGTTAAAATCTTTAGGCATGGAAAACACACTGTGCTGATGTATGGATGTGAGTACGAGGCCAGACATGCAAAATCTGAGATGCAGCATGCATCGTGGTATTTGTTTTCTAGAGGGTCACCAGACATTACACAGCAACTTCTCTCGCCATTACGAGTTGAGAGCATCCTCTTAATGGGACGACAGATTCTCCATTCGGTCTACACTGATCTCATTAACATGAGGTAACATGAGAATTTGAAGGCCTTAAGTCAGAATCACTTTACCAGAGGTGTCTTCCTGTGCTTCATATTAGATTTGACTGTCTGGTAATCACATTCATGGCCACTTCTGCTGCGATCCAGTGCAAGTGTGATTTGATTTGTCTTTGGGTTGTAAGCTAGAGAAGGTGGTTCTTTGACATTATTTCCTTTTTGGTTGTGTAGTCTGAGGACTAAAGCTCTTATAAAATGCCTTTCCATCCTGTTGTGGAAATCCAAATCTACTACTAGTGATATTTGTTATAGTGTATCATATTTACTGAAATGACTGAAGTAGCCTCTGATTTTCTGTTGCTTTTGTACAGGTATATCTTGGCCAAGATGGTGTCGTTGAGGTGTACGCAAACACAACGATACATCCCAACACCCCCATCAACAGCGACCTCGTACTGGATCAGCACGGATCACACATCTACATCATGACCAAATCTGCCGTAAGTCCACAAAGAACACGCTTTTATTTTTTGTCATAGTTTCAGGTGTCATTCTTATTTTCCAAAACACCCAAGAGACGCTTCTTTCACGTTCAGCCACTCACCCAGATGTCTCCTTACACGAGACTAAACATGGCTCGTCGTTGAACGTCTGGCAATTTATGGACTGTCAGAGTTCTTTGGGCTTTGATACTTCCTCAAGCTGTTTCTCCATAAAAGACAATAAGAGGCAAAAGATATAAAAACAAAAAGGGAGGCCAGCTGGCAGCTGAGGTCAAAAGTCCCCAGCCCCACTGAGATGGGCACAACAATCCACGGGAGGTGTCAGGTCAAACACAACAATAGTATTGATCCGAGGAAGTGCCCTCCATTGTGTTGGCACTCTCCCTGCAGAGCGAGTGTGGGCAGCTCTAGATGCTGATGAATGAGTGTGGACAGCCGCAGGTCTGTGCCCCAGAGCATTTTACACCTCAGTGTTTATCACCATAAGTTACTGTCAATATTCATGATCAGAACTACGGTATGTGTGTTCAGATAAATATTGCTAATGACAATGCATAAAATACCAGTATTTCAGCAACACACGTATTGTAGCGGTGTAATACAGGAGGTATGGCCTCATGACTCAAACCTGTCAAGTTAGCTGATGGCCAGATAGCATTGAGTTAGCAGTGTGGCTAAGTTTAAACAGTGGCATTTGAAACATTTTATTCTTTATTCAAGTTAAGGAGATACGCTTTAATTTTTACTGGAAAAAAATTAGTCTTATACGTGTGACAGATTAACAGATTAACTGTAGAACAGGCTTGTTTCAGTAACGATGCGTCACCATGAATGAAAGTAACTCTTTAACGAGGAAACACACAGTGCCGACATGCACGTGGAAACAACAAGCACATTAGCTGTCGTTAATATTTGCTCAAGCCAAGATTAAAGTGATTATTCCCCTACAACTTAACAGAGATGGATCTGGCTGTGTGCCAACTTAAGCAAATGAACTGTAGACCCACAAAAGCCTGAAGTTTGGACTTTGTCCGGCAGGACAAAAAAGGCTGTTTGCCCCATTTAAGTTTTTCAGTGGATTGCATCTGAAGTCCTGATCCTGCAACATGAAAGCTCAAGACAAACATAAAAAACCTGAGGGTTCGGTGCAATGATTAAAGCTTTATTCATCGTGTAAGTGAATGCACATATTGAAAAAAATACTGGAAGAAAGGCCTCAAGTGATGTCTCGCTCCTCAGAAAGCCAAAAAAAACAAACCAAACATGAATGAAAGAATCATATTTCTTAGATTTACTTGTGCAGGATCAACGACCAATCGTTTTTTTTTTTACTTCAATCCTGGAGAAAGTGGCCAAATGAGATCTTCATGTCATTAATCAGATTTATTTCTTCCTCTTTGTTGTGCTCTCTGAGCCACAGTGTCTCTGGCATCTGTCTTTGATTGCTGACCATCTCTTATTGATGGCTTTTAGGTAGAGAAGCGCCCCGTGGCTGAATGCGGAGACTACTTGGACTGTCAGTCCTGTCTGTCTGCCAGAGACCCGTACTGTGGCTGGTGTGTCCTGGAGGGACGGTGAGTCTGCAGACGCTTTGCTTTTTTGCCCCCCCCCCTGCTCTTCATCTCAGCCCCTCCTCTTGACTTTCTGATGTGCCTCATTGCCAGCTGTGGCCAGCGGTGGGAGTGCCAGCGAGGGAGCGTGCAGGGCCAGTGGCTGTGGAGTTTCAACCAGACGCAGCAGTGCCTCGCCATCCAGCACCTCAGCCTCTATAACATCAGCCGGGGGGTGAAAACCGACGTAAGGAGGCGGGCACAGACAGGAAGTGATGTCATGCGTCCCCGTGGTAACGCTACATGATAATTTTTGTCTTTCTGAATGCCTCTCCTCCCGTTCAGATTGCGCTATCGGTAGAAGGCCTTCCCGGTCTACAACAAGGAGAGGCCTATTCTTGCTTCTTCCAGGACACAGAGTCTCCTGCTCTGCTCACCACCTCCGGGGTGATTTGCTCCACCCCTGATGCCAGCAGTTTGCCTCCCATTCGTCACGGAGATGGTGAGTGTTCACAGTGAAAAGGAGCCAAATCCCTCCTATTGTTTTAGGAAGCTTGAGCTTGAGGAAGTTCATAAAGAATTTACCTTTGGTTTAGGACTTATAAGGGTAATCTTTAGCACACCTGCTGCAGATGTTCCCTCCGATGTCCACACAGCAGAATTAGTTTGAGATGGTCCAATGGGAGACCTACACAAGATCACATGATTTTCTGAAGACGTCCCAATTTTACTCCTGATATCTTACACAAAGAAGAAAAGGAAAAAATATATTTTTCTCAGTATTGCTTTTTTTGGACATAATTTTAACTTAATGTTCTTATGGCTTGTGTTCATCAGTTAAATCATAAATGACTGGCTCTTGGCAATTGAATATGATTAGAATCCAGACCTCTGCCTGAAGCTTTTAGTGAATTCATGGGATGATATATGTTCAAAGAAATGGAACATTGACTGAACTGTTTCCCTGTCTCTCAGAGTTTGTGATGGTGACCCTGTCTCTGCGCTTCGTCAATGTCACTGTAGCAGAAACAGATTTCACCTTCTACAACTGCAGCCTGGTACAAGAGCTCTCAGGACGCCGGCCGTGAGTACACGCCACACCATCCAGGTCCTCATTCAACAAGTGGAAAGCCGCCCAGAAGTTAGACATTAAGATAAAAGTCCAATATTAATGCCACAATGCTGCAGTAGAAGGGACAGTCAAGAGGACAAGAGGTTTAAAAATGAACAAACATTTTATGTTTGTGGGCGTACAGACTGGTGATAATATGGATGGAATAACTTAGCAGCCAAATTATATGCAGACTGAATCTAAAAAATATTGACATAGTATTTACAGAGATGAGTGGAACGTACAGCATGTGGTCTACAGAGAACAGTTCTGGCTGTAACCTCTAACAGCTGGAGCTGGTGTTCTGTGAAGGGGGTGGGATTGACCTGATCATCAGAGATGATAGCTTAGTTAGCATTCTCTTCTCTCCCACCCGCTAAAGGGGGTAACTCGGGGCCGAGCCTGCCTTTCTAATAGCTCCCTCCAGCCTCTTCAATTCTGTTCAATTCCACTCATTTTATTAAGTTTCAAATCACTACAAATATCCTCTATTGGCACTTCAAAGATACAGTCCATTTCAAACTAGTTAGAAACCAATTCATTGTAAATACAGCAGAACCTCTACTTCCAATTGTCTAAACACACATTTTCCATAGAAAGAAATTAAATATGAAAATAAATAAATTATGTTAGTTTAAAGTTCATGTAGTGAAAGTTAGGGTATGCTATGTATGTCAGTCACCACCTCTACCTCTGTTCGCCAATAAGTGCCAATAATATGCCATATATGATTTTTTTCATAAACTTTCAGACTTCCAAACATAAGTTTTAATATGCAGCTGAAGATATGATTTGTTTGGTCAGAATTCAGCCCGTGTGCAGCGTCTAATGTTGTGTTTCCGGTGTTATGTGTGACTCCCCCAGGTGCCACGGCTGTGTGAACAGTCGCTGGGGCTGTAACTGGTGTATTCACCAGCACGTCTGCACGCATGAGCGCACATGCAGTCAAGGAGTCGCCATCTTCAACCGAAATGTGAGTCATCCTCAAGCTTTGCAGGGAAACATGGGTTTAGTCTTTACGGGAACACACTGTGAGTTTGGAAGCTCTTCGTTTGTCCCGCAGATCGTTGTTCATACGTTCATATCTGTTTGTCACGTTTGGTTTATTTGGACCTTTATTTGCACCATAAGTCATCTTTTTATGTTTCCTTTTTTTAACCCTAATTTTTTCTTCCACCCCCTTTTTTTTCACCCCCCCTCTTTCATGTTTGTTTAATCATCCTTTGATGTCAAGTTTAAACCACCAACACCTACCATCCCACCATCCACCAGCAAACCAACCACATCACCTCCTCCTACTGTTCCGACCGCTCCAACAACAACAACAACACCACCAACAACAACAATAATAACAACCACCACCCCTACAACAACACAACCACCCCCCACTGAGACATCTGCTCCCACCACAGCAGCTGTCCCCTCCACTACCGCCGCCGTGACCCCCCCCACTACCCCATATGCCCAATCCACCACACCCGCCAGCCTCTCCACAACTTCCCTCTTTGTCAGGATCTCCACCCAGGCCACAACGGTGCCCTCTGATGTGGGCACAACACAAGGTTCCCTGTCCGATCTGGAGGGGATGACCAAAGGAGCAGGTTCCGGCACAACAGACTCCTCCAAGGAAATGGATACCTCATATATCACAGATGAAACTCCCAACACTCCATATCCAACCAGCGCTAGTGGCCATGTAGACTCTCTCCTGGGAGATTTAGAGCCATCTGGTGAAGTGGTGGGCTCTTCCTTTGAGATAAGCTCAACTACTTCCAGTGAAGTGGCCCCTTTAACAGACCTCCCTATCAGTGATGAGGAGGAAACCATTCCCCTGACCACTTCTGAGCAGAGTGTCTCACCTCCTTGGCTGACTGGGTGGGAGAGGACAGAGGGAGAGTCAGAGTTGCCCTCTGAAACGGGCCCATTTGTTGTTCATCCATTGGCCTTCACACAATCACCTGACACAGTCATTCACCTCAACTCTGATTCTGCTGCAATCCCCCAGTCTGATACTTCACTTGACTCCTATTTTCTGGTGAGTGATGACGCTGAGTCTTGAGGTGGTGAAGAAATGTTGCTCAAGTTGCGGCAAGACACTGCTAAACGTTTGTTCTATGTCCAGAATGAGAAAATAAGATTGACTTATTAAGAATGACTCCTTGCCCATCTTAACCTAGTTTAACTTAGCTTTGAGTCACTCATCTCAATGTATTTAGCTAAACGCACTTAGCTGTACCTAAGTTGGTTAATTAGGCTTAATTTAGAGTTGGTGTATCTTAGCTTAGTTTAGCTCATCTTAATTTAGTTTAATTTTGCCTCTCTGTTGACTATTTTTGCTGTCAAACTGTTTAGTTGGAAAGCTTTCATGTAAGATCCTTTAGTGGACGTTAAACTGAATATTCAGAGGGCAGTTTGTTCTCCTGCTACAAATCCCGCTGTGACTGACACAAAAATCAATGCGATCTCAATTGAGAAGATGCAGCTGAGTGATTCAAAGCACTAACACGACAGGTTTTATCGACGCGTCCACCTTCTCCATATCATTTCTGGTCAACTCATTTGATGGTCCTGGTGGTAAGAGGGTTTCACTACGTCGGCATTTCCTTCTACAAACTAACGGAAGCCACATTTCCACCCCTGATCATCTCTAAAGAAGAATTCCCCTCTTAAGTTTTACTCCTGTTCATGTCATGTCAGTTTTAGTTAATCTTTTTTATTCTGCTAAACTTACAATATGTGAACTATATTATTTTCTTGGAAGGCAATCTCATCAGATAATCAGTTATTTTGGAGCCCTCCTGTGCAGTGTTTGGGTTTGGAAGATGAAGAAGAATGATAATCCTGCACTGATTTTCATGTTTCACACTCATCTCTCGGTTAGAGGAAGTGGGAACGGTTCACTGCGTCTCTTGGCAGAGGCCCCGTGTTATGCTGGTGTAGAAATTCTTTGTTAAATTTGATGTGGAGGAATCTGACTCCCCTAGAGATCTCTGATAACACCTGGAATGGAGGCCGGGCTTGATTTCAAAACTAAACAAGACACAGCAGCCACTTTAAGTGTCACTGATCATGAAATGAGGCATTCAGGTGGAAGTCTACACAATTCCGCTAGAGGTGGGAATCTTTATGCACTTCTAGGTTTTATTACAGTTTACAGGGCTTATATATACATGATGGTTTAACACCATGTGACTTATCATTAATGTATTTTATTTGAAAAAAAGTTTTGTTGGGTCAAATCACTCTTTAGCATAAAGACTCCAGCATAATTGAGTCCATGATCTTTTATCTTTGTGTGCACCAACAGGTTAATTCTAATTCACAAAACAAAAAGTTGACTTATACAATATACATTTAAATCAATCACTATCAAAGTTATGACCCTAAAATTCTTCTGACCCAAAAGAACCAACCTAAACATTTGCTCTATGAATGAGGCAGTTTAGTAGGAATAAGCTTTTGGGAGATGAAATAACAAAAAAGGATTCACAAAAGGTGAAACATGGCTCACGTACCATCAGCTGTTTTCCTTCTCCTCCTCGGGGAAGTGTCTATAATGGTTTTCTCTTTTTGATGAACTTCCCCCTTAACGGTTCACTTTTCCTTTGCAACACCTGATGGATTGTGTCGTAATGTCTCATCAGGAGTGCCCGTGTGTGCAACATGTTCAGGATTCTTCTTTGCTTCCTGTCAATGTTGAGAGGAAGATCACTTTGATTGGCCAACACCTGAACTTGTTTGAGGTAACTTATTATATTGTTATATCACATCAGATTAGAATCTATTATATTTAATAACACAGCCAAGATATCCCTCTTTTATAATGAAGTTGCCTGTGTTGGTAAACACACATGCTATGTATTCAGGATGAGAACTTGGACTATGAGTGCGTGTTGGACATTGAGAATCGGTCAGTGGTGGTGGCAGCGGACGTGGAGCCGGACGCCACTCAGCCGTCTATCTACATTATTACCTGTCTCTCTTACCAGGTGAGGATCAGACACCCCAAAGGTCTGGGAGTAAAGATAAAGAAGCTCATTCACTCCCTTTTATTCTTTAATCATCATTGATTTGGAAGTGTAGTTGCAAAACTTTAGTTGACCTAACTGTGTACATTTAAGTCATCCTTATTTACTGCATTTAAATCAACAAGAGAGATGATTTTCATCTGCCTCACCTGGTAATAATAAACCGGTGGCATACTACCTGAACAGAGCCTGAGTGTTAGTGCTCATTATCAGGTAACTGAACACATCTGAAGCAGCCTAACATCAGCTCACGCAGGTGGTAATGGTCATGCGCGTCTCTTTGCAGTATGTGTATTCCCTGATGACCGAGGAGTATCCCGCCACCATCAACGTGAGGAGAAAAAACAACTTCCTCATCGACAGCGCCGAGAGTCTGCACGGTGAGAGCCGCCGCTCCTTTCTGCCCGGGGATGATCTGATTACACGAGTGCGCGCTGTGTGCTTATGCTCCAGCGTAAACACCCGTCTGTGCTCCCTGTCTCCCCTCCCTCAGTGACTCTGTTCAACTGCTCTGTGGGCCGCTCGGACTGCAGCCGCTGTCGCACCGCCGACCCAAAGTATGGCTGCGTGTGGTGTGGCAGCACAGCCGGCTCCCGCTGCGTGTACCAAGACTCCTGTTTGGACGAGGTCAAACATACCTGCCCCGCTCCGGTCATCCACTTTGTAAGAGCTTTCTTCACCCTCTCATGAGCTTTCTTTGCTGGAGAGATTTTTCTCCATTTTGTTCCTACTCTGCATCCTGGACGTCTCCGCTTTATTTCATCTGGATTTGGGATCTCATTCCAGGCATTTTTGGGGGATTCAGAAGGCTCTGCTAGCTGCTCCAAAAGCTTTTGTTTGGCCACGGTCACACCGTACCAGCAGAAGTCCTCCCATAAGCTAAAAAAAGAAATTTCACAAATCTGTGTTTTCACAGGCAAAAAGCTCAGACGTAAACCTAAAACAGATTTGAAGAAAGTTTGTTCAGAGCTGCTGCTTCCTAAAATGTTTCCAGTTTTATGCAGGTTGACTGGTTTCAAACCCTCCTCATTCCTATTTATTATAAAGATAGAAGAAAGACTTTGTCTCTAACCTTGAAGCATTTGGACTGAACACTGAGAAGGTTTCTTTCTGGCTGGGTTGTGGTCACAGTGGATTTTGTTGGTTACTCTTGTGCTTCAGTTGGACCCGGTTTCTGGCCCCGTAGAGGGAGGGACAGTGGTGACCATCTCCGGCTCTAACCTCGGCCAGAGGGTGGAAGACATCCAGAACTCGGTCACAATAGCCGGGGTCTCCTGCAGCGTCATCCAGAGCAGATACGAGGTGTCCTCCAGGCAAGGCCTTCACACACCTCAGCTTCCACACCTGGTGGGCCTCCCCCTCCCTCCCCACAGTGACGGTTCTGCCATGCTCTTTTACAGGATCGTGTGTGAGACGACCAGGAGTGGGGTGGAGAGGAGTGGCCATGCCTCCGTCCAGGTGAGCGGAGGAGGATACGGACTGTCCGCTCAGGTCTTCAGCTTCCAGGTAAAGTCAACAGCATTATGACGACATGTGATAACATTTTGTTTTCCTGTCTACACTGCTCAGCATCTCCCAGCCGTCTTCGGTTGAGAGGCTGAGTACACCCTGAAAAGGTCGCCAGTCCCTCAGGGACGAACGAGAAAAACAACCAAGCACACTCACACTCAGTCCACCAGGCAGTTTGGGTCTTTTTTATTAGTACCCACTCAGTTTTCTCCAGAACAAGTCCGAACAGAAAGACAGCTGAAGGACCCCGGACATCATTTGTATGCAGCTCGGACACGAGACGACAATGAAGGACATTGCGGGCACAACATCCCGGCTGAACCTCCTGGTTAGACCAGGATGTTTGTTTGTTTATTAAGCTTTTAAGAGGTTGATCATCACAGGATTAAAGAAATCTCACTTTTGTTGTTGTCGCACATTAAATCACATGGCATTTCAGTACAGTCATCTGACTTTCTGGTCAGTCTGCACCTGTCCACCATCAGCTCAGCGCAGCCCGCTTTGAAATCCGGCTGATCAGGTGCTAAAACTGTAACTGTTGGGAGCACCAGGGAAAAAATCAAAACAAGTAGAGCTGAGCTGAGTAAGTACGAGTGGAAAACCACCATTAGAGTCACCAATTATCCTCACATGCGTGTCGTATGACTGTGAGAGGAAGCTGGAGTGACCGGAGTAAACGCATATATACACAAGAATGAGCAAACCTAGCAGCCACCCACAGTCACACAGTGTATGTGACAGTCTGCTCAGGAAGTTCTGAAATTTTCACTGTGATCGCTCACCCTGCTGAGGAAAGCCGGGCTACTCACACATGCGCGAGCTGCATAATTAAAGCCTGTAAATATTTGCTGCCGCGACTCAGTGAGAGCCTGGAGAACTAATGACAACAGAACCATCTCTGGGGCATTTTCACACACCCTTCATTTGGCACCCGCCGTCTTCCCCCTGAGATATGATCCAACGCACACGGGAGAAGGCGGTTAGCACCTGTGGGTGTGGAGGGCAGCAGACCAGGCCGGTAGAAGGTTTTCTGAATCAAACGCCGCCTTCGAAAAAACTGAATGCGTTGTAACAATTCTGTGCAAACGCTGATTTTAATTTTATTTGAAGAAAAAAAAAAAAAAGCCCTTTTCTCACTAATTAAGGAAAGAGGCTCTCCCGCCCCGCCCTCTGTGACTTGGCTTAATTAGGCTTCAACAGTGGCTCCTAAAATGTAAGTGAACCACAGGCCTGTAGTAAAGTAACAACCCCTCTGCTTATTTACATAACAGTAAAGGACTGGAGCTTCGACAGCAGCCCTAATTAATCGTCCCAAGTGACAATTAGATTAATTGTTAAACAAGCTGGCTGAGAGGCCGCCTTCTACAGTTTCCCAGAATGCCCTGGTGTTTGGTTTTTATCTTCCCAATAAATCACAGTCGCAGTATTGGATTATTGATTGGACTTTTTCTTTTTTTTTGTCTGGTCCATCTTGCGTCACATGCTGTATTTTCTCCTTCTGTCGCGGCAGGATCCCATACTCAGCAGCATTTTCCCCCTAAGAGGGCCCAAAGCGGGGGGCTCGTCTCTCACCATCAGAGGTCAAAGACTGAGGACAGGACATCTCAATGAAGTCAAAGTCCTCATCGGAGGAGTGCCCTGCTTGATGTAAGTGTTCCCAACACAAAGACACAGTCAAACTAAACAAAAAATTCTTTATCTAAACAGACATTGCATTTGCTTGGGAACAAAAAGTAGGTTAAAATGAAAAAAACAAACAAAACAACCTCTTCTCAGGGAGGACAGCCACAGCGTCCAAGATGATCAGATCAGCTGCAAGACCCGAGGCAGCAACAGAACGGGAGAACACCGCGTCATCGTGCGCTTCGGTGGAGCAGAGCGCCACCTGCAGGGTCTGGTGTATCATTACACACCCAACCCCAACATCACCAAGGCAACGCCGTCCAAAAGCTTTCTGAGGTGCAGCAGATGTGTGATGCTTTGTTTAGATTAAACTCTGAGCGTCCAGCTGGAGGTTGAACACCCAAAACCCCAAAATAGTGGAGGTTATAACTAACTAGTAGCACTAAATATCATCACGTACCAGCCAAAAAAGAGAATTTTCTTGCACCCTAATAAGTTTCTTCCTCTTTAACATGTGAGCATATCTATTTATCTCTTTTAAAAGATGCTTCCTTCATCTATTCCTACAACTATTTCCACTAATTAAACTGTTAAACCTGTGACACTGTATTACAGTGCCAGTGAATAATAAGAAGCCTGAACCTAGAATAAACAGATTATGACTGACATCTAGTGGTCAAACTGGAGTTGGCAGGATAAATGAAAAGTTTAGTAATAAGCAATAATTAAAGGATGAGTCTTTATTTTCTGCTTGAACAGCAGCCAGATTTGCTTTACCTCACCATTTTTCTCCTAACTATGTACCCTAAAATCTCAGCAAACAGCATTTTCAACACATCCCAGATTTCTTTCATCTGAGCGATGCTCCTCTTCTATCTTTGTTATTGTTACACTTAGATATTTTTACTCTGAGTTAAATCCAGTTTCAGGCTGTAATACACCCACAAGTTCTTTGAAATGCCCTTTAAATGTGTCATATCAAACCTTCCTGTTTGATTTGTTGCTGTAGATTCTCAGTCACGTAAGATCACCGTAACCCTAGGAGCTTGAGTAAAGGCAGCAGCTCTTCTTCTTCTCTGAACTTCTCCTTTTCTCAAGCTCTTAGGATTCCCATTTAACTTATATAAGGGCATTGTGAGCTTATAAATCTCTGTATGACTAAAATAGGTTAATGTCTAAATATGAAGAGTGACAGCATTTTTGTGGCCTGCTTTTGTCCACGTCCGCCCTGCAGTGGAGGCAGAATCATCAGCGTTTCGGGTCAGAACCTGGATGTGGTCCAGGAGCCGAGAATGCTGGTCACCCTCAGTCCTCCAGACTCTCTACCTCCCAGAAGGAGAAGGAGTGTCAGGAGGAAGAGTGACGGCCGGCCGGGTGGACGGCGTGATCGGCAGGGCTCGCCGAAAAGGTGGAGGAGAATCGTTCCAGAGACCAACTGCCCAGAGGGAGCGCTCTGCCAGGACAAGCGTGTAAGTCCCAGCGAAAGTTTTGGCGATACCTGTTAAGCTGTTGCTGTCGGTGTGAACGGTGCCCTCCTCTCTCCTGCAGTTCGAGTCTCGCTGCACAGTCAACAGCTCCTCCCTCATGCTGTGTCCGACCCCTGCTGTGGGTCTAGAGGCCAGAGGGGCCAGGGTGAAAGTGGAATTCCTGTTGGACTCTCTCCGTTTTGACTTCAGCGCCGTGGCGAGCGAAGCCTTCAGCTATGAGCTCGACCCGAAGCTCTACAAGCTGAACCGGAACGACTCCAGCAAGCCGTACCCCCACAAGCCGGGCAGCATCATCTCTGTGGAGGTGCGTCCCGCTCACCTGACATCGAATCCACACTTTCTTATGCATTGAAATGTTAAAAACATGCTCAACCTCAGACTCAAAGCTCCACTTGCAGCATCTCCCTGTGAACCTCGAAGGTTTTCCAGCTCATGACCTCGTGCTCCCTTCCAGGGCGAGCGCCTGGATCTCGCCATGTTCAAGCATGAGGTGGAGGCTCGGATAGGAGATGGCTTCTGCGTGGTGAAGACTCTGACGCACAACCACCTGTACTGTGAACCCCCAACCCAGCAGCCCTCCATCACGGCCAGTAAGAAGCAGGACGGCATGGAGAGCCTGCCCGAGTTCACTGTGAGTGGGTGACGCCTAACCCCAGGTCCCTTTTTCTCCATTTCACCCAGAAAAGTGATCCTTAATTGTTCTGCCCCCAGGTGAAAATGGGAAATCTGAACTTCCCCCTGGGCAGAGTGCAGTACGACAGCCAGGCGCAGCCTTCGTTTCCCCTGGAGGCTCAGGTGGGCGTCGGAGTGGGAGCCTCCATTGTGGCTCTCATAGTGCTCATCATAGTGCTCATCTACAGGTAAACACACACTCCTGATGGTCACCGACAAACAGAGTTTTGTCCTCTTATGTACTCAAACTTTTGCCTGCTCTGTTTGTCAGGAGAAAGAGCAAACAGGCCATGAGGGACTATAAGAAGGTCCAGATCCAGCTGGAGAACCTGGAGACCAGTGTGAGGGACCGCTGTAAGAAGGAGTTCACAGGTACAGTCTGCTAGCTCACCACAGTCCAGCGGAGGAGAAATTAACACAACGCATTCCATCTTCTGAGCGTAACTCTGCTCACTTTCCAGACCTGATGACAGAGATGATGGACATGTCCAGTGATTTGGTGGGTTCTGGGATTCCCTTCCTGGATTACCGGGCGTACGCTGAGCGCATCTTCTTCCCGGGCCACCAGGAGTCGCCACTAAGGCGAGATTTGGACGTCCCAGAGAGTCGAAGGCAGACAGTGGAGCAAGGCTTGGTCCAGCTGTCCAACCTGCTCAACAGCAAACTGTTTCTAACCAAGGTCAGCATCAGTTAGCTTGTAGTCAGAACTATTTTTAAGGTTTAAACTATGTGTGGAGGAACCAGGGCATTAAGAACACATGGTTGATGTGAAACTCTGTTTGAATCAATCATTCAAATTTAAAACACATTTTTCTTAGTTCTGTGTATGATCATCTAATTTGCTGTTTTAAATAGAGCGAGTTTTGTTTCAAGTCTCATCCCTTTTCCTGCAGTTTATTCACACTCTTGAGGTCCAGCGGACTTTCTCCCCCAGGGATCGGGCCTACGTGGCCTCTCTGCTCACCGTGGCCCTGCACGGGAAACTGGAGTACTTCACCGACATCCTGAAGACGCTTCTCAATGATCTGGTGGAACAATATGTAGCCAAAAACCCCAAACTGATGCTGAGGAGGTGAGGAAGCTCCACCGGCTGATGGGGGAGGCGTGAGAGGGGGGTGCCCTTCGCGTGCACCCAGTTCATGTGTGCGCTTTTTGTTTCTCTACAGGACTGAATCTGTGGTTGAGAAGCTGTTAACAAACTGGATGTCTATTTGT